TATTTTATATAATCCCTTTGTCTTAGCTAGCTTTTTATAATATTAAATTCTTTAAATTTAATTATGTGATGACAAATAATTTTCATGTTGTAAACAGTTCTTATTTAAGATATCCTGAGGTGATATTTAACAATCATTCCACGAGTACGCGTTGGATATGAGGTGGTAAATAGCCAACGAGGCGCGTAGCGCCGAGTTGGCTATAATCATCTCATATCCAATAAGCGCGAGTGGAACAAATAATTGTTTTATTAAAAACGCTCACGAAATATCGTGAATTCTCCTCGACTCTATTTGTAAAAACAACCGATTTTCAGTTAATTTTGAGCATGGTATAATGGCTCAGATACCATGATCGTTACGCCAATCAGAGCTCTAGAATTGCATTATCCAAAGATTCAGTTTTAAATAAAATAAAGCTATCTTAACTTATTTTATCTCGACAGCAATTCTTTTCCTTAACAGCCGGGTTGTGTCAGCAAAATTTGAATCAATTTAAAGGAGTTCCCAACAACCGACAGGAAAGGAGTCTACTATTTGCCATGTTCTTCACATCAATTATTTCTGTGTCATTGATACTCAGAAAAGATTTCGTTGAAAGGAAGTTATATTTCAGAAACAACAGATTAATGTACCAACTTTGTGACGTCCTAGTAAATTTTCCTTTCTATCCCTACTAGAACTTCTGTAAAAACAATGGCAAAGTCAGCATCTTTTTCTATGCCTTTCCATTAAATATACCATATGCATAATATTACAACACACACTCACACCCACACCCAAACGGTGGAGATATGACGTTTGAACAGGTCTTTGTTACCGCAGTTTACTCAAAAGTTTAAAGCACGAAACCGAAATAAAATTAATTATCGCGGAAAACTTCTTAAGTAAACTGAACCTTCATGGGGAAGTCGTCTATGGTTAGCTATGGTTTGCTGTTTTTAATTAACTATCTTCCAGTAGTTTAAATAAGTACTCACCGTCGAAGTTAGTTTATTATTATAAATACTTAACACGTTCAATTTTTTCTGTTTAGATTTTAGTTTCAAGAAAAATGATCTTTTTCCATTTGTGAGTACCGATTAGATTAGCGGTGACCATTTTTAGCACTGTTAACTTATGTTGTATATTTCTAATTGCACCGACACACGTGAATCAATATTTGGAAAAGAAAGATGACCACGTACATTTCAAGAAAACCTCTTTCTGTTTTACTGCAAAAGACTTTGGCGCCGCGAAACCACACGAAACATTTGTTTAATCTCCTTCTGTATTGCTTCCAGTAGACTTGTGTAGTTAAAAAATCCATTGAGTATATCGTGAAAGATGTAAAAATCAAATACATTTATATCTCGCCAACAACTGCTAAAAACGTCTTGGTCGATTTGTGTTTATGTTTACTCAAGTGTCTCAGAGTACGAATGACTTGAAGTCTCCCATCAAGAAAAGTCAGTCAGTGAACCAATAGCAGATCGAGCATGGACAAATAGAAGAAGTATGAATTCGACAAACACATCTGGCTGGTGTATAATTTCGTGGATTATGTTTCACTCATCTTAAAGGAGAGAATCATCGCCCCTTATTTCCTAAAAAAGGTAAGTTTTGGATAAAAAGACGTGTTTCTATTTCGTAATTTTAAAAAAGTGAGGATAAGATTTTTGTAAAACATTAAAGTCGTTACAAATCGACTAGTACTGTTATCCTGGTGAAAATGAGTAAGGTTATACTGCTGACAGTCAAAACGAAGACATTAGGTTTATTGGTTTTAGTGAAAAACTGATTTTGTTCATCAATACCAAACTGTCCGAAATGTATATTAAGGCAACTGGGGTTTTTCGACAGTATTCTTAACATTTTCCCAAAGAAAAAGTCCCATTTAAGGTGTAAGGGTTTTTAAAACAACCTACAAATAAATGGGCATTCAATTAGGTGAGAACTGGAGAAACTTGTACTGTAGTCGACCGTGTCATTATAGGGTGTTCTTTAATCAATGCCTATACCATTTCTTGACTTTTGAAATTTAAGGATGAATGCTGTAAAACGAATTCGATTCGAACGTTAGACCCTTCGCAGACAATCCAATCGCTGTCTTCTGTAATTACTAACGACTTCGATTGATTTAATGTCAACAGATAAATTGGTACATTATGTGTTTCATGCATCTGATCTAATTTTCGCACCACCTTTATGCGAAATGACAGCTCAACTTTAAATAGAAGCAGGAAAAGATTGTCTCGAATTTGCTCCGATCCGAATGCCTTTCCCCATAAGAGACCTTAGCCGACAACCAACCCCTTCGCCGCAAGGAAGTTTAAGCAAAAAGAGGAAAAAAAGTGAACTGGAACATTCATTATAATTGACATACCGATTACAATTCTAATTGCCTCGCATTGTAAATGAGGGAGCATTTTATAATTGAATTTTGGAAAAGTGACAGCTACGACGCCTCAACCTTAACTGCCAAGCTTACTACATATTTTTTGTTGACTTGAGAGATGGTGGCAAATGTTCTTAAGCCAAGTGGCTGTGGGAAGAAATATATGTGAATCATCTGAGACATATTGCTGTCATCCAATATTCGGATCATTTTTCTTTTCTGGGAAACTGCCCACCTACCCCTCCCCTAAACCAACATTAACACTTAGTTCTTGCTTAGGGCAAAATGTTGGCTTAGGGGAGGGGTAGGTGGGCAGTTTCCCAGAAACGTAAAATAATCCCAATATTCGCCTCAAGAGAGCCACACCGGATTCGGGAATCCAGGACATATTTGTTTGTGGAATCCGGAATCAGAAATTTTTTTGTCGAATCGGGAATCCGGGGCTTTAGAATCCGGAATATCGCTCAGGGAATTCGGAATTCCGCTAGCGATTGGAATCTGTAATCCAAGTTAAACTGACAAGGAATCCAGAATCCAGTACCTGGAATCCGGAATTCACAGCGTGGAATCAAGAATCAAAGACTGTCTTAGATCACCTTACATGGACACACCGCAGAGATCATGACTGGGCTGGAAAAACGAAGTGCAGCCGAGTACGTCTGTTTAAGCCGATTCACCATTTTGACATTGCCCATAATACACCTCGTTTACCCCCCGAAGTTTTGCATAACCATTGTTTTCAAATTCTCCTGGGTATTACAGTCATACCAAGTGTCTGATATAACTTTTTAAACTGACGACAACTCTTGATGAAATTTAACGGGCGTTTAAAATTTCTCAAAAATGATATAACATTAGTAGCAGGAACTATTATATGCAACACCTTTAGGGAGGTTTTCTCCTATCAGCTAGATTGTATTTTTTATGGCTAACACCTTCCAGGTTTGAAAATTAACTACGTCGCCATTAACAAAGATATGGAAAAACGATTACCACCGCTTTATCAGACAAAGATGAAAATCTGTTATGAACAGGGTTATATTGACATCATAGTTGTCACAACAACGAAGTCATTATCTATTCTCTTATTTTTCGTAGCCTGTTCCAGGCTCCGAGATAGTCGGTCCGCGAAATTGAGAAAGCGCGGTGACTTATAGTTACGTGCCATTACTACTATCTGAGATTTTTTTGGCACTAGCAGTTTTTTCTCCACAATTGCACAAGGGAGCTTGTTTCTCCAAGCGCCTGCCCCAATGTTCGTGAAGTTTGAGAAAAATCGATGAAAGCGTTTTCGAGATATTTTGGAATGAATGAAATTTTGTGGTTAAAAACTATGTACAGTAAAAACTGGAAAGTCTTGATGTTCAATTTCACTTTATTGTAGTTCAAGTCTTTTTAAAAACGTGTGTGGGAGATCATGGGGGTGTCTTTAGCCGGTTGGTAGAAAGAGGGATTTGATTAGTATGTATTGAAGCGCTCTTGTCAGCGGTTTTGAAAACATTTTGGTCTACTTAAAAAAGTAAGCGAATAATTTGGAAACCGCTTGATAGATTTTTTAAAAAATATGACATTGTTGAGAGTAATTGTCGTTATATGAACCTCAAGGTTCATGATCATTGAAAACTTGTAACGCATAAAACGCTAATATTTTTGTAGGAAATTTCATGTTTACAAGTGAGATTCATTTATTATATATATATTTTAGTGGATAGCAATAGCTGGTATTTCTGTGTATTTCAAATGTATTGTTACTTACTGCTGTTCACGTGAAAAACTTGGAGATAATACCTCTGAAAAATAAGAGGCTCTCACACGTAAATACGAAATTCGCGGCAAAACAATAGCGCACTGGAGTCTTTATTTTATTACTGGCGTTACAAGTTTTCAATGATGTTGAAACCTGAAGGTCATATAAAACGATGAGTAATCTCGAGCATATCAGACTTTCAAAAAAATCTGTCGACCAGTTTCCAAATTCATTTGTTAATGTATACCAAAATATTTACGAAAATGCCAACAACAGAATCTCAAGCATGCTAATCAAATCCTTCTAGCAATTGGCTAAAGCTATCTCCGTGATTTTTTAAACATGTTTTTGTATTAAAAGGATTGAAACTGCTATGAGATAAATTGAATTTCAAAAGCGCTTCGTTTTCTTATTGTCCATGCCAAAATGTCTCGGAAACGCTCAAACTTCAAGAACATTGGGGCAGATATTGGGGGAACATGCTGTAGAAAAAATCCTCAGTGACGTCATTTCGACAAATCTCCATCTTTATGTGATGAAGCTGTGGTATTCCTTTTTCGACATCTTTGTTAGTGGCGAAGTAGGAAATGCTCAAACTTGGGAGGTAATGGCCCTGAAAAAACCAATCAAGCCACCTCAATGGGCAAAAATTTTCCCTTCTATTTTCTTACAGTTGGCCATTTCCGAGGCGGCACCAAAAACCCATCCACTCGAAATGAGGCCAGTGCAAAATATTTCATGCAAAATATATATGAGATTAGTTTAATTTATACTACTGTATTGTTCGGTGAAAACATTAATATTTAAGCCTGATGCACACAACTTGGAACTTGCGCCGCTATTAATTGCTGAATTGCTATTCTTTTCTCACGCAGAATGCCCAGTTTTCTTTTTTTCCAACTGGTTTTGACAGCAGTGCTTTGGGCTCAGGGTGTCTACAAGAGTGACGAAATTCGTTCTTCATATTTGATCTTTCTGGAGGGTCATGTCATGTTAGGACACGTGACAAAAGTACAGTCAAGTCAAGGCGTTTCTTCGTGTGCACAAAGATGCTTATCTGTGCCAGGATGTCTATCATTTAATTTTGCGAAAGATAACAGTCAGTGTGAACTCAACAATTCATCTTCTCAATTTGCAAGCCACTTCAAAGACTTGACCGTAAAACAAGGAGTCGTATATGGTCATTGGATTACACTTCCCATCATGCGGTTTGTTTTCACAACACTCGGTGGACAAGGACCTGTGGGTCCAACTAATACATCAGGGTACTTAGGAACGTCACTGGAAGGTCAAGTTCATCTTAACAATGGTATTCAAGAGTGGAAAGTTCCGTATACAGGAAAGTATTTTATCGAAGCGTTTGGAGCTTCAGGAGCCAATGGTACTTGCGCAAACTGTTCTGGATGGAAACTTGGAGGTCGAGGAGCCAAAATGTCCGGTTTCTTTGAACTTAGCAGTGGACAAAAGCTAAAAATATTAATCGGGCAACAAGGACAAGTCAACTTTGATTTCAACGAAAACCCAGGTGGAGGGGGTGGAGGTACCTTTGTCACGTTTGCGGACAATTCACCTTTAATAATAGCGGGCGGAGGTGGGGGAGGAAGTATTTCCATTGTTGGTAACTTAGACGGAGACTCAGGGCAAGCTGGGCCAAATGGGACGAGGAATGGAGGTACCGGGGGATCTGGGGGTCGAAAAACTAATCCAGGTATATTATCTGGTACTGGAGCGGGCTTATGGGGCGATGGCGAGGGTGTGAATGGACAAGCAAGAAGCTTTAAAAGTGGAGGTCAAAGTGCTTCCACATTAGCCTCATTAGGGGGATTTGGAGGAGGGGGCTATGGTTTTGTTCTTCCTGGGGAGGAGGCGGATACTCCGGTGGAGGAGTGGAAGGGGCTTTCGAAATAGGAGCCGCAGGTGGAGGAGGCTCCATAAACAACGGAACTTCACAGGTTAACGAAAGTGGTGTAAACAACGGTGACGGTAAACTTGTTATAACTCTTATGACTTGAAACAAAGAAGTCTATGGCTAAACTCCTACGCTCTCTCCATATTTTGATTCCAAGAAGTCTTAAAGAAAAAGTGGGTTTGGTGGTCAAAAGTTTTGTTCAGCCTGTATTTCCTGCGCGTGATTTATGGTATATCCATTGGAAATATCGACCAAAGACCGAAATGAGCCCCTCTGATCTTAGGTATTTGTCGCTGAACTTTACATAAGATACCTGTAATATGGACACATCGCAAGTCATATTTCATGCCCAACTGGGCCTTACACGTTACAGAAATGCCAACGTAATCGGTATCAAGCAACTAATTTTAAAAAAATTAACTTCGAAATAAGTCATGAACGTGAATATACGAACAATTTTATATTTCAATTGCGGGAGAAAGATTACATCACTTACAATGTAACTGTTGTTTTACATCAAATAAGTAGAGAAACATAGTTTTTGTCTAAGGCACTTGTTCAAGAACATTTCTCAACTGACGTTCAACTCCACCCTGCCGGAACAAAGCCTCCTTTTGACTTCTTCTGGTACGAGGAGGAGAAAAGAACTCAGCTCTGTATAAATCGCGTCAAACTTTGAAGTCGCTGCAGCACGTGCTTCTGGACTGGTTAATCTTGTTTTCTGCCGTCAAACTGGTTTTTCAAGTCCGATCATCCGTTATTGATAATCGACGGTCATAACTGAGCCCGCTGTACCAAGTGCACGGCTATTAGGCCTAAGTCCGAAACTGCAGCGCAGGCTCAACAAAGATTTTACTCGATTGCTGCAAAGTCTATCTCGAGTACCCCAAAATTGAGCAAGTGAAAGACTGAAGGCTCTGCTTATTTCCATTAAGTTTAACTTTTTCGAAGAGAGTTTGAAGCTAATTTTGGGGAACCATTTGAATAACCTCACTCACATTTAACTAACGGTCGGCTAGGAGTACAATGAATTCCCTAGTGGACGATACTTTCCATAAGGCTTTGTTACTGGAGGCTAGGTTAAGTGGGGTCTTTGAAGCAAGGGAGGTCGAAACCCTTTTAATGTTACTATTTTGAGCAGTGAATTTGTGGGAGGTATTTGATTTGTTCTTATCATGAAAACGTACAAATCGAGTAAAATGTCTCACTACATGTATATTTTGTATAATTAGATATTGGTAAAGTTGATTATTTGCAGTGTAAACTCACGGGAGAACAGGACTTGGGATAAAAAGGCGAAGGGTTATTTTTTTTACAAAAAAATTCAGGATACTCTTAATTTGATTTGCTTGACGAGTGAACAAAGACCTTGACGTCATTGAAGAAAGGGAGAAGATCTTGAGAACCTTGCAGATCACCCACCTCGTCGATGTAAAGAATAAGATAGACCAGTATCAACGAGTCTTCAGTAAATCGCTAATTACAAATTTACGTAGAATCAATAAGAACTGATAGGTCTTTAAACCTCAAAGAACACGCCCTCAAGATGGGTGATTTGGTTTTTCGAGACCTCCTGTGGGTCAAAATCTTCAGTTTTAGAGTGAAATAAGCCGACTGCTTGGATAATCACTCAAAAATATATCGAATGACAATGTAAATGGCCTGAAATAAGTGTTAGTTTATGCATTCATGATGACAATCCTTCTCACATAAATGAGGACATCAACCCCAATTACAGAGATGGTTTCCAACTCAAGCAGTTCAGTACTGTTGTAGTCTTTGACCAGCACTAGTTTCTTTCCAAACGTCAAGCCAATCCATTTCTCATTGGTCAAAATAGACAGATTGCGTTTCTCCCAATTGTTTTAACAAGGTTTTACGATCAGCTGTTACGGAATCAATTTGTCCAAAGTTAAAAATTGGTTTATGTCGTGACAAATCAAGAATGCATGCTCGAATCTAATTCTGAATTACAATTCCTCACAGGCTATGCTGCAATAATCAATACTCGAAGGTTGATTGACAGGTTCTGATTCGCCAAGTGCTTTACTGCTCCCGAACAAACATTTGTTTGTTCAGGTAATGACAGCTGAAATTTGCTGAATTGCGCTTCCAGTAGCTAAAGGTATATTGTCCGGATAGACTCATTATAAAGACGCCCTTTAAAACGTGTTATATCAAACCTTAAATTGAACAGAATTACCCAGAAGAAATGAGCAGAAAAATATTCAGAAGGTTAGTCTCATATCTCAGTTCATTCATTTTCTTCTACGTTCAGTACCTCATGCCGAAAGAAAACAATCTGCGCGAATTATTCTGACCTTATGTCTTAAAGATTAACCTACGGCACATTGAAGCTGCTCAGACAAACTGGTTTAAGCTTGTTCCTTTTAGCCTTTTTTCATTACTCAAAAGATACAAACCGGCCCCCAAAAAAATTAATAATAATAAATAAGTAAAATCACGATTGCTAAAATATATTTTCCTCAAAACTAAAAACCAAATCAAATCCAAAACGAAATATTCATTTCCTGTAACTGAAATTCGTTAACCAAGTAACGCGTCTATTTGTGTTTAATTTCTTTTTATCACAATTAACAAAAATTGTGTAACTCAGTGTTAATTTTTCATGGCCTTTTCTGAAATGAAACGTTCACTGTTGAGTGTTTCGCCTCTAAGACTGTGAAATATGACGCTCATTCTGTATTAGTCTGGAACAAAAAAATTAAGTCATTTACACTAGTGAAATACTAGGTCTTTTCGACAACTTTTCAGTCTAAAAACCCAATAAGATTCATACTGAACAGAAAATATTCAACGTTTATGTTTCAAAAATTTTCAAACTGAATTTGAAATACATGGTATGTTCCCAAGCGATAACTTCGTATTTTACTCAAACAAAGATATATTATTTTAAAAACCACCATTTCTTGCTGCCACTAAAGACACGTCTAGGATAAAGTTGTCATCATTTGGATTGCTCATTTTTACTTTCTTCTAACAATTTCTCTAACCATTTACCATGATCGTTGATTCAGTTTTATTTCAATAAGTCTTCGTCATCTCGGGACAACACGTCAATAATACAGGAAACTATGAATGTATTTTATTTACAGTGAAAGAGAAATAACATGCTAATAAAAGCCAGGGTAGAGCTGAAAGGTCGAGGTTTTTACACTCAACCTATTAAGATTAGTATGTGTTCCTGTATTCGAAAACCTGACATATCACCTTGTTTAACACTGCAAAACTACCAAAGCGCAGTCAGAATTGTGTATTGGTTTGTGCCTTGCTGGGGAGAATTTTTAACAATAATACGTGGAGAACTTTCCGAAGAGTGAATTCATGAACTATGTAAATATAGTCTACTTCCTTTTTAATGATTTTATTTTATTTTTTGCTTTTGGAAGACAGCAGGAATACTTGATACATTTTTGGATGAGTTACTGAGTTCTTCAGACCTCAGCAGCCTTACGTTTTGCTTCTCAACTTTAATCGACCAAAATTAACTGTGATATTTAGAAAAAAAGAAAGATCTCCTGAATTTGTAATGCAATCACCAAAGTAAACACAGAGAAATATCGTTAAAAATGGTAGCAGTGACTCTAGAAGATAATCGTTGAGAGCAAGCAAACATTGTGTTATGTTACTGGAGTAACAATTTTTATCATTGTAACAAAATTCTCGCCATTAATATCATTATCCTTTTTTATATTGGATTTGAATCCTTTTTGAACCAATATTGGCCCAAAAGATGGCGGCTGTTAGTGGATTATGACGTAATCATTACGTCATGAAGTTTTCATGTTATGCTACTTGGAAAAGGGTCATCTCAGAGTTTAAAGCCAGGGCTAAGTGCAAAGTCTTTTTCAGTGAAAAACAGTTTCTCCCTTATCATGAAATAAAAGTTATTTAATTTAAAATGTTTAGCAGTTGGGGATGATGGAATTCAGCAGTCGATGGACATTCTGAAGGGTTTTACTGCTATGACTAGCAGAGGGGTAGTGGAATTTTAAGATATAACACAAGGTATTCCAGTCTAGTTGTTTTTCGTTTTTTTCGTATTTTCAGATGCTTGATGTTCCATTTGCTCTTTTTCTCAACTTTCTTTTCGATCTCAACGGCGTTGACGCGCTTCGACATAACTGCTTCGTCATTTACCAACTTGTATGACGACTATGTACTTTTCGATTACGTCATATCCAGCCACCTGACCCAAGGCATTCAGGCATGTGCCCACCTTTGCTTGTTAGAGTCAAATTGCCTCTCATTTAATTTTATAAAAACACTGGAACTTTTCGAGAAAGGTTTATGTGAGCTCAATAGAGTAAGTTGCCGCAACAACAGGAATGCAAGCCTCACTAATGCTCTAGGATATGTATATGGTGAATTCATTGACGTGAAAACAAACCGATTTATATTTACCACCTTGGGAGCGAGAGGAAAAGATGGCCCTACCAAAGCACAACTTGAAGGCTACAAAAGAACTTCTCTAGAGGGGCAGGTAGACGTACAACAAGGCATTCAGTTTTGGAAAGTACCTGAATCCGGGACTTACGTCATAGAGGCCTTTGGTGCCTCTGGAGGAAATGGTACCTGCCAAACCTGTTCAGGATGGAAGCTCGGTGGACTGGGTGCAAGGATAAAAGGAACCTTTTACTTCAACAAAGGAACAGCATTGAAGATTTTGGTTGGTCAGCAGGGCCTAGTAACCGAGTATTTTAATCAGCGTCCGGGAGGAGGGGGTGGAGGGACGTTTGTTACGCTTGTGGACAATACCATAATTGTTGTCGCTGGTGGGGGTGGGGGTGGGAGCTTGGCGAAACCTAGCTACGGAGATGGTGACCCAGGGCAAAAATCGGAGAATGGTACGCAATATGGTGGGTATGGCGGAATGGGTGGATTCCGATATCAGATAGCGAACAAAACTTTCGACTCCCCAGATATCAAAGCCAGCTCGGGGGCAGGATATAGGGGAGACGGGGATGCACCAAAAAATATCGGCATCACTCCGGCTAGAAGTTTTCTTACCGGTGGTACTGGAGGGGGACATGTGGCAGTACAAAATGGAGGATTTGGTGGGGGAGGATGTGCAGTAACTCATGGGGGTGGTGGTGGGGGTTATTCTGGTGGAGGAATTACCGGCACTACGACTTCAGGAACCGCAGGGGGAGGGGGATCGTTTAATTCTGGTTTACACCAAGTTAACGACGCGGGAGTCAATAAAGGACATGGAAAGGTAATTATTACTCTGCTGCAGTGAAGGCCGAAGTGTTGAATGGGAGCTCTTGAAAAGTTTATTTTGAGGCAGTGGCTCAATATTCTTGGTTTGCAACCACGTGAGAAGGCCGCCATGTTTGTGGTCAATACAACAAACTGTTTTTTGTAGAATTTACCTGAAAGTGGAGTTTAGTTCCCAGAGTAGAGAAATGTTTTTTTTCTTGATCACCAACATAGTCGCTGTGATGTCACGTGCAAACCAGCAATTAGGAAAGGAAAATTGTTTATGACCTACACTAGTTATCCGTCGGATGGATCGATTGGCCGCCATATAATGTTGACACGAATTAAGAGGGGAATAGGTAGAGCTAAATCAGACATTTCAAGAGTACCATGCGAACAAACACAAACCAGTACCCGTCACGTTAGGAAAATGTGCAAATCGACGAGTGGACAAAGAATTGACCTCTGTTGCCTGTTTTCATCTAGTTTTTAGTTCAATTATAGACGATAGTCAATTCTTTTTCATACCTGTAAGAATAATGATGTCAAGAGACTTTCAGGGTTTCAATTAAGGAAAGTTTTATTGGAAGTCATAGAGTGCGATTTATTTCAAACGACCGCATAAAAAAAAACCATCAGTAATTAAAAAGGTAGATTTTAAAAAAGCCTTCAAAATTACATTTAATCAGTTGTAAATAATTAGCAGTCTGGTACAAGGTGACAGCTAGTAAGTAATATGTTATCAGATAGCTGATAAAAAACCACTGTAGAGTAAGATAAAAAATGTCAATCCGTTCGTAGTTCCCATGTCATGTATCTTTGCCCTTCTACTCGGACCTGAGCCAGTGATAAAAGGTGATCATTTTTCTCTTGGTTCAGCTGTGTTTCAAGCTCTGAAACCTATAACACGAACAAACTATGATCAGAGAAAACGTTTAAAAAATGTTGCAATATGTAAATCAATAAAGGATAATCAGGTTAGCTTAAAAAATAATACTTGCTGCTACATCGTTTAGAAAGTAGAACAAGAGAAGCGCGGTTCCAATTTCGTCTTCAGAGAAGGTGGACGCCTTTCGCTAGTTTCTGACTAGAACGACTTTTTGTCTACTTTTTGGCTTATCTTATGTTTTAGACATTCTGACAAAATTTGTCCTCAATCAGTTGCCATGGTTACGAGATATAAGAGAAAGAGATTCAACTGGTTGTTAAAAACCTGAAACAACAAAGGTGAATTTTCAGTAAAATGGAAGACCGCCATTATCGTGCCGGCAAGAGGGTCGCAATTTTCAATGGCGATGGTGCAGTCTGTTCTAACTAAAATAAAACTGTATTAAAAGGAGAAACAATAACTGTTAAAAATACTCAGTTCAAGGAAAATTAAAGGCACTTACTTTAAAGTAAAGTTCCCGTAATTTCTGAATTGTTTTATTGTCCATTTTCTCAACACACTGAGTCTGAGCTTGATCGCTGCACTTACCATGTAAACCTGATTCCCTGACAAATAGTTAAGTAACAATGGTGTTCAAATAAAAATCGCGTTTACAGGAAACACAGGTTTTCGAATCGACAAAGCTGAACGATTCTCTTACCATCTTCAGATAGCAACATCCAGTGACTTTTTCAAAATACTGAGTTCATTTTTGTTTCGTTCTCGCAAGACTGTGACCTCCTGCTGCAGCTGATCATTTCTGTAAAATAGTCAATGACAAAGTTCGCAGAACGCTGGAAGGTAATCTTTTAAACCGAATACGATAAACATGCCCCACTGAAAACAAAGCGGATCTCAAAAAGCATTCTCCGTGGAACCTGATGCGTAAAATCTATAAACACATTTGAATACTTATCAATCCGGCTTTCGATCGCTCCATAGCACCATGACGGCGCTACTTGAATCAACGAACAACTGGTCATAGATAACTTTTAAATGGTATATATCGATCTTAAAAAGCGTCTAGGTAACAGGAGCCAGAAATGTTATGTTAACGTGAAGCCTCGGTCCTTTGATGCGCTAAAATGTTCGCAGATGATACAACTATTACCATTTCTGGTTCCTCTCTAGCTGACCTTGAACAAGAGACTAACTTAGAACTACTGAACCTTCACTGTTGGGTTTGAACTGGCAGGTAACTTGGTTTGAACTGGCCCCTTATCTCCCAATCTACTGCGGTACTAGTCTATAACTCCTTAATTCAACCTCAGTTTTGTTTGATAATGAATAGAAAAAAAACAAGCCTGCTTCTTGATATACTCAAATGGGACAACCCCGTTCTCATATCATTGGAACTGTCCAACCAGATCTAAAAACGCCTTGTTACAATTTGGTTAAGTTGTTTTTTGTTTTGTTGTTGTTTCTAAAAACGCCTTGTTACAATTTGGTTAAGTTGTTTTTGTTGTTGTTGTTTTTTTTTAACAATTTGGTTAAGTTGTTTTTGTTGTTGTTGTTGTTGTTTTTTTTAAGAAAATGAGGGTTATTTATTGTACACTGTGTGCAAATTTTTACGGAAATTTAAGGACTGGATTTTGCGTAAACCTAATTAGTTCAAAACTTTAGGCTTGTTTTCAGTTATCCTTGTTGCCATAGTAACGATCGCAATCTTACTTTAACCTAACAAATGTAATGTCTTGAAATCTATACATTGCTCGCGCCATATTTGAGCTTAATACTTGCAACGAGTGTTAAATAACACCACAATGAATGGCAACGATCGCCAACCTATCAGACTGTGTTCAGCCACCCTAATTTATTATTCTGCTTTTGGAATACTGTCGGGAGGGAGGCAAAGCAGAGAAAAGATGGGTACGATTCGCAACCACAGTCACATTCTGACTGACAATCGTCATGGATTTAGAATATAGTACGCAAGGTTGCCGTCTTAAATCTAGCTACTATCTTGGACAAAAAATGTGAAAAATTTTTCACTTTCTTACCCTACAAAAATGCACTTAAAAAAAGTGCATTTTTCGCAAAATTCTTAAGATTTTTTGTCCAAGATAGTAACAAGACCCCTCTCCTCGCATCACCTTGGTCGATGTTATTAACTCAGGGTCAGAAATGATCCAGCTGGATTTCAACACTACCTATGGTGGGGAAGGGGGAGGGAGTTTTGGGGGTTGCCAGTGCTTTCAATAACCTTATCTTGAAAGTAGACGTGGCAACATCCATTTGTTCTTAACATTTTTGTCCAAGAGAGTAGCTATATAGCTTGGCAGTAAATAACGTTCCAAACAGTTACCTCATACCTGAGAGATACGGACTGATGGACGGCGATCTCATTTTTAAGCGAGCTTTCAACTTCCTTAATTTTCAACTGTGCTTCTCTCAAGTTCATCTCTTGTGTCGTGCTTGCTACTTTTTCATCATAAAATTCTTTGTTCTTCCCTTCAAGTTGTTTCCTACGATAATATTAAAGTACACTGTTTTTTCACCATTCCTTTGCTTTCTGATTACTGTTGATAGAAAAGCTCTTTTCCATGGGATATTGCTGTTAACTTTCAACGAGTGCTTTTAAAATAATCTTTCCTGGTTTTTTTCTACCCCTTATCTGTCATTTCTTTTGAAAAAACGGCGGCCTGGGTCGAAAGAGGTTATTTGGCTAGTGCGTGATCCTTTTCCATTTTAATTTCTTTGACTTTGAATGTCCAACTTTATCGGCTTAATATGAGTTGCAAATGCATATACGGATTTTTTTTAGAATAGCCTAGACTTTTTATTATCCTTTTTCACCTATTCCTATGGGATTCGTTCCCTGCGATGCTCGCGTTTTGGCCGTTTTAACAGATTCAACTTCTTCACGATCACGAAGGACAACAATATTTCTGAAAAAAGCCGAGTCACTGGAAAGAACTGCCTTTGTTCACAGCTCAGTGCAGCGGAGAAATAAGACACTATGGGTCCTTTGAAAGTGCTCAGACACCTGGAAGTTATTTTATTATTTTTTTTTTTACCGAAAAGATAAAGCAAAATTATGTTTTCTCCAGCAAGACTTTCTAATTTATGAAAAAAAAAAGCTTGACTATAAGCTAAATGAACTTTAGTGTCTGCATTCATGTTCTTTTTGTTGTGAAGGGGTGCAATTTTAATATCAAAACTTTAAAGCCGTCTATGACCGAGCAGGTTTTTTTTCTTTTTTCCTTTCAATGGTTACTGTGCTTGATCTGAACATAATGAAATGTTTAAAATTTAGAGGAGTACTATACATAAAAGAAGAGAACTTTGATTGCAAATATGTTAGTTGGAAAAAATACTGATTATATCTTTTTAGTGTATAGGTTAAAAAAGTGATGCGTAGTCAAAAGTGCTACAAAGGAGTAAAACCCAGATCTTTCCATTAATAAATTTTATTGACACTGTCCGGGACATACGTTTTCCTAGAGTACACATTTGTTCATCAAAAATCTTGTTTGTGAGACTGCACTTTGCTCAATCTTTTTTGAAGAGAAATAAACAATAAAGCATGGCGAGCCGCAAGCCTTAGCGACCGAAATATGGGGGGAAATTTGTCCCCCATCTGACAAGAAGGCCATTGTTTAAATTCAGCCAAGCATAGACCGTTGAGAGCTTGAAATCATACTTGAGCAGAAATGCGAATCCCCTTTCGTGGACTCCTGTGAACCTTTATCTGACATTATCTTTCAACCGCTCATTTTAGCAGACACTACTGAAAAGCTGATGAGACGAACACACAGAACACAACTAAAAAAAGAACCTATTAGAATGAAAATCGCTCCAAACCAGTGCATCATTTGGAAAACTTGTGGCGGTGTAGAGGAGTTTTGAAACAAACAGGGAATACCTCGGAATCAATATGCATTTATTTACCGAAGATGAACGAAGTGCAGCGATTTAAATTTAATAGAATTTACATTAACTATAAATTCAAATAGTTTTTACAGTAGCTTTTTCTGGGGAGCAGAATTTAAATAGGAGACATCACCGGCCTTTTCTCAAAAAAGGGAATAGTCCCGCTTTTAATAGGCCATTTCCGAGTTCCAAAAAATCTCACTTTCAAAGCGAGGCTAAGTGCGAAGCCATTGATATGAAAATGATTTTTAATTATGATGCAAATAAAACTCATTTTCACAACAAAGGTTTCGCACTTAGACTCGTTTTGACAGTGAGATTTTTTGGAACTCGGAAATGGCCTATTCTGCTACCCCGAAATTTATATTTCTAAATCTAAGTAGCTTCTTTTTCTTTCAAAAAATTTTTTACGGGGGAATCAAAATGAATTTTGGTTGATTGGTTGCGTCCATCGCGGTTCCCCCCTATTTGGTTTTTAATGAAATACCATTGCACGAACGGTCTCTATTATTTTTCACGAGCCATAACCAACCAAGTTCCCTTGCACTAAGCGAAGGCGACACACCTGATTGCTTGCTTTTTCAGGCGACTCACCCAGAAGAGCACGTGCAGACGGAACTTTGGTCGTTGTTTAGCTTTGTTTTGAATCACCCAAAGAATAAGTTCAATTACGAATTCTAAGCGTCTAGTTGAAATGAAATCTTGGCAAGTCCCAAACAAAAGAAAAAGATATTTGGCAAACCGTTTTCGAAGACTATTTTACCTTATAAACTTTCCTAAGGCCTCGTTTTTTTACAGAAAGATTCATTTACTATACACGTTTTACAAAGTCTTCTTGCACTAAGCGAAGGCCACTCACCCGATCGCTCGCTTTTAATCAGGGGACACACCCAACATAAAAGCACGTACAGAATACCCTGAACCATGTTCATGAATTTGTTTTCGGTGAATGTGAACTGGGGTGAACTGCGATGGACACAAGCAATCAACCAAAACTCATTTCGATTCCACCGTAAAAATTTTTAAAAGAAAAAGAAAGCTACCTAGATTTAGGGCTTTACAAATAACGAGCAAACTTAACACTCAACTCCCTCTCCTTGACTGAGTGCCTTAGGTGGGTGTCGGTAGGGGTATGGGTAACACGAGCGTCTGATATTTTTAACACGTTTCATTTCATTTTTGATCAAAATAAAAAGCTTTTATGAGGTTTATACTCGGAATATCCCTTATTTATGGCTTTATAGCACAATTTGCTACCAGTGGGAGTCATTTTCGCCTATTCGATACTAGGAAACTGATTATTTTCATAGGCAGAGCTCCGTCCGGCTGTGTTGAGAACGCATGGAACAACGCAATATTACGCGATAATTACCGGCTTTATTGTTGTGCAAAGAGTGTTTTAACTGTAAGATAATTTTCTCATTAATTGAAACAAAGATCTGAGCATGAAGTGACAACTATAAATCGCACTGGATCATGATGAAGCATTTAAACATCGGCAACAAGCAAAACAGTTGAAAAAAGATCAAAGATATAGCAATTTGGCCGCTACTTGTGTATGTGTATTATAAGACACGGACGTCTACAATTTTCAACACATTCCTTTGTTTATCAAGAAAATGTCGCACGAAATTA